GATTTACAGATCTTATATCACCCAGGGAAAGCTAATACCGTGGCAGATGCCTTGAGCCGAAAATCCATTGCAAATTTGTCATGTCTGTTATCCAACCGAAAAGAATTGCTAGATGACCTGGAACAGAAAGAGATTGAGATTGTCGTGCGAGAACAAGGTGGGATCTTAACTGTTATTCCCGCTCAACCTACAATTCTTGACGAGATCAAACAAAAACAATGCGAAGATGAATACTTGAAAAAGATCATAAAGGAATTTGATTCAAAGCCGAGGCCGGGATTTGTGTTTGAGAATAACGTGCTGAAATTTCAAACCGTCTTTGTGTACTCGATTATGGTGATTTGAGAAAACGTGTTATGATCGAAGCTCACAACAGTAAGTTTGCCATGCACCCGGGGAACACGAAAATGTTTCACAATTTGAAACAGAATGTTTGGTGGCCTGGAATGAAAAAGAGTATTGCTGATTTTGTGGCTAAATGTCTACATTGCCAACAGGTTAAAGCTGAACATCAACGACCCGCTGGTTTGCTACAACCACTTCCAATACCGGAATGGAAATGAGAGCACATTACCATGGACTTCATTGTGGGATTGCCTCATTCTTCTCGAGGTATGGACTCTATTTGGATTATAGTTGACCGTTTACCTAAGTCTGCTCATTTCCTACCTGTTAAATCTGTTTACAATGTTGACAAATTGGCCAATATTTATATGACTAAAATTGTGAGATTGCATGGAGTGTCAGTATCTATTGTGTCTGACAGGGACTCAAAGTTTGTGTCGAGATGTTGGCAGAGTTTGCAACAGGCTTTGGGGACTGAACTGAGGTTGAGTAGTGCCTATCACCCGCAGACAGATGGGCAAACTGAACGAACCAATCAGACTCTGGAAGATATGCTTAGAATGTGTGTATTAGACTTCCAAGGAAACTGGGAGACCTATTTCCCATTAGCTGAATTTGTGTACAACAACAGTTACCATTCAAGCATTGGAATGGCTCCTTACAAAGCTTTATATGGAAGAAAATGCCGTTCTCCGATATGTTGAACTGAAGTAGGTGATAGACCTTTGTTGGGACCGGAACTTGTGCAAGAAATAACCGAGAAGGTGAAACTGATCCAACAGCGTCTGAAAACTGCACAGAGTCGGAAGAAGAGCTATGCTGATGTCCGAAGAAGGGATAGGGAATATGAAGTTGGAGACCATGTGTTCATAAAGGTAACCCCGATGAAGGGTCAAACTTGGTTTGATGTTAAGGGCAAGTTGGCGCTAAGGTACGTTGGACCTTATGAAGTCCTTGAAAAGATCCAGTATCGTATCGGGTAGCTTTACCACCAGTAATGGAACATATGCACAATGTATTTCACGTATCGATGCTTCGAGAGTATTTAAGAGATCCGCTCCATGTCATTGAACCAACGTATGTGCTTTTGAAGGACGACTACACTTATGAGGAAACACCTATCCAAATTGTGAATCGCAGGATCAAAAGTTTGAGAAATAAAGAAATATTGTTGGTAAAAGTTGATTGGCAAAACCGTGGAGAAACCTATGCAACTTGGGAAACAGAAGAAGACATGATGAAGAGATATCCAGATTTGTTCCCATTGGACTCAATGTTGTTCCAGAATGAAGGTAATTCGAGTTTGGAGGACCAAACTCTTTTAAGAGAGGAAGACTGTAATAACCCCGACCCATGATTAACATTAATCCGTACTTAATTATGCCTAACAGTAATTTAGGAGGGATTTGGGATTAATTTGCTTGTGTATTGCATTATTTTTGTGTCTTTATCTGTTCGGTGTAGAAAGATCTGTTCATGTTTTAGTTTCGATTTGCGAATTGAAAGCCTTATCAGCATCCGAACCAGAAATTGACTTGATTTACGTGCTAATTAAGATTTATAGAATTTTATGGTAGGTCTAATTAAAATTCGGTTCGGAATGATTAAATTAGATTAAATTAATGTGCACCAATTAAGCTCAATTAATCTTATTTGTATCCAAGCCTATTTGAGGCACCACTCTAAGCCCACTCACTCCTTTTTCTTCATTCCATCACATTTTGTGCTTGCCCAAGAGAGACAAACGGGTGAGAGAGTGAGAGAAGGGAGAATTAGTGTAGAGCTTGAAGATTGAATTCACAAGGAGGGAAAATGCTAGGAAAACTTGGAAGATCACTCAAGACCTTCTCTAGCATAAGGAATTGAAAAGCCTAGGTAAGAACTTAACCCTTTAATCTTGTTTTTGGGCCACTTAGAGCTTGTGTATGAATGAAATAGGTGAATTCATGGGTTAATTAAGCTATAATTTGAAGTAGGCAAGTGAATTCATGCATGCATGTACATTTTCTCACAAATTGAGCATGATTTCAAAGATTTCTTTCATGCATGTGTTAACCTCACTTACATTTTGGTCATTCATCTTATTTGCCATTAAATTACCAAGTTTGATTATGTTTTGGAGTGTTTGAATTCAAGGAAGTTCTTGCATGTTGTATTAATGACATATTCATAAAGTTTATGTTGGAATTTTGCACGACTGGCATACTTTTGGGCCATGATTTCTTGTTATGATGCTTTAAACATGTTGTTTTATGAGTTACTAAGTGTTTTCCAAAGTCTTGGGCCCAGAAAATTGAGTTTGATGCATTTGGGGTTGAATTTGAGCTTGGTGATCAAATCTGGAATTTCCAAAAATTTGATCTACGCTCGAGCGGGGAACTTTACGCTTGAGCGTACACTCTGAGTACATGCACCTCCGCTCGAGCGTCGAGGTTTACGCTCGAGCGTCGAGGTTTACGCTCGAGCGTGAAATGCATATACCCAGAAGTTCTTGTGTTTTACAGTCCGCTCGAGCGAGGAAATCCACGCTCGAGCGAGGTTCTGAGTCTCACGCTCGAGCGTAGGTCGAGCGCCCGTCGAGCGTGAAAATCATGCATCCAGTACTTTTTTAAGAGTTTACAGTCCGCTCAAGCGGTGAAAGTCACACTCGAGCGGAGATTCATTGTCTGCATGCCCGCTTAAGCGAGGAAACCCACGCTTGAGCGTGGACCTTATTTTCAGCAAGTTTTAAGAAATGTTTTCCAATGCACTCTTGCATCCTCATTCCATCCTAGACATTCCTAGGCCATGTTTAAGACTCCATAATGAGGATTAAAGGTTAAAAACACACTAAGAGCCAATGAAGTAAGTTATGTACAATTAGAACGTGTGTTTCAAGTGTGTGTCTGTTATGTGTTATGTAGGTCACGTGTCGCGTACCGTTGATCAATCTGCTTCGTCTTTCTGTCTCAAGGCCAACTGTGAGTAATAACATAGTAAAGCTATGTTCAACTTTACCTATTTTCTGTGTGATGAATTAAGATCTGTTTTCTGAAATGATATGTTCTGTACAATGAATGATTGTCCAATTTCTGATATGTATTCGTGACATCCTTAGCATCATGTGATATCTGTTGGCTGTTACCCGGTATCGAAGGTTCCATCATGGAACTTAATCTGTCTGCACTCTGTTACCCGTACAGGAGGCTTTATCATGGGGCTCAGCGTGTTTATTCTCTGTTACCCGGATTCGGAGGTTCCTTTATGGAACTGGTTATTCGTAACCCTCACGTGTCTGCATCTGTTCTGTATCTGCTCTGTTAATACTAATGGATGTATCACGTATACTTAAGCATACCTCATGATTTCTGTATATGATCTGGACAAATTATGAATTTGATACGAAACTGAATTATGATATTTGAATATGTACGGACTCATTCATTGAAACCCCTTTATTCTGTTATTGTTCACTGAGCTTTCGCTCACAGTTTATATTATGTATGTAGGTGAGCCGGCGCGTGATCAGGGCCAGAGTTGACGGCTTTCATTTCTATTTTTGTCAGCCAACCGTTGTACCTTCCGAGGAGGTTCCGATCGAAGTCTAGTTACATGGCTGTTTTTGCACTTATGCTAGTCTCTGTCTGTTTTGCAAAGTCGGGTCCTGGGAATTACACTTTTGTAAATGTTTTGTAAATATTGATGTCCTTCGACCGACACGCTTATGTATGTGCAAGTTTTGAAATCTTCTGTCCCATGTATATTATCACAGCTCATTAGACCTTGTCTATTTTGTATAATTGCTTCCGCAGCCCTTTATTATGTGCTTATCTGTTTAGAGGCCTTTGATAATCCACAGATTACTGGTCGGTTACGATGCTAAACCTACAGGGGCGGGTTTGGGTCGTGACAGATATCTTTCATATGATATTCCTCTCGATATGTTACAATCGAGTTTTTCAAATAAGACCCAGATGACAACTGTTGTCTTTGATTACAAAAAGATTACAGGTAAACTTATTTTTCTTTGGAATTAGATTAAGTGCCCTGTTGTAGGTGTGACGACCCCACCACGTATAATAATTAGCATGTAATTAATTAAAGAGATTTGAATTTTAATTGCCCATTATTCTGATTTAATTTGGGATTTATGAAAGTTGTGGAGGCTGATTCGTATATGATTCTATTGAGAATTTATTTTGGAATTAGAAATTGAAAGCCTAAATGGCTTAAGAGAGTATAAATAGTGAGTTGAATTATTTTAATTTCGAGTGTCAGACCATATGGGAGTTTAATTAAATATTTGATTCAGATTTATAAAATTGAGATTCGATTAATTTGGGTCCGAATTGGAGTTAATTAAGTTATACGACTTAAGAATTAACATTATTATGCATTAAATTCATTTATGAGGTGTCTAATTTGAATATGTAATTTATTGACGAAGATTTTGAAGTTTAATCTGAAATTGAAAGCCTTAATAATTTAAGAAACCAAAATTGAGGTTGGAAATAAGTTTAATTTAATATTTGGAGCCTTTTGGGAGTTTGATTAAAAATCTAATTTAGAATGATAAATTTAAATATAATTAATTGGGCTCTAATGGAAGTCAAATTAGACTAATTAAATTATGTGAGATTTGTGATTAGTTATGATTAATTAAGTTATGTGCTAATTATGATTAATCAAGACTAAGTTGTGTTTAATTAAGCTAATGAGTAAATATGCATTAAGTTAATTCTATTTATGATTCAATTATAGAATTGTCTAGAAAGTGCTAGTGCGTATACGTGTTCTACTGCCAAAGAGGTGCATGTGTGTGTATAACTAATGAGTTCAAAAGTGTTTGGGTTAGCATTTATTTGATATGTGCTTAGAGAACTCTAGAGGCAGAGAGAACCGAGAGAGAGAGAGAGAGAGAGCTCAACTCTTTGTGAACAAGAACCCATGTTGCTGGAATTTTGAAGCTAGCTCAAGAGATGGACTAAAGGAAAAAGAGAGGAAGCAAGAGGAAGTGAAAAATTAGGAAGAAGGCTCAAGAATTCAACAACATTAGGTAAATATTTATCTTAATTCTTGTAGATAATTTAGTTATAAGGAGAAATTAAGAAAGTTATGGAATCATTCTCATGAACTTTGTAAGAAATTGGATTTTGAGTAAGAAATTAAGTTAGGTTCATGGTTGTGGAAATTAATTTGGAAAAATTAATTGTTTTTGGTTTGATTTTGTAGAATTTTTTATAATACTTGAGATTAAGAAGGATTTAAGATTCTATTCATGGAATTAGAAGGAAATTGGGTTCTAAACATGAAATGGGTTACATGCATGTTTATGGTTATGAAAATAATTGTAAGAATTCTTCAAATTGAGCTTGGGTTTGGAAACCTTGATATATATGAGATGTATATTTGCATGCACCATGAGTTTTGAAAGAATATGAGCCATGCAAGTTTATTATGCATTTGATTTTGAAGAAAAAGTTTTGAAAAAATTGAGTTCATGAAAATGGTTTGATCATGAAGTTAAATGAGGTTTTGATTTTTGTTTTGAAACCTAAAAATTGATTTGATTTTAATCTCTAATCCATTCATGTAATGTAATTCAAGAGTTTTATTCAATTTGAACATGTTTTGGAATATATTTAGTTAGTTTTATTCGAATTACATATATGCAATGTTTGCTAGGAAAATCGACAAGAAAATGAAGAATTTGAGCTAAGATCAAGTTTATGAAGTTTAATTAGAAATTAATTATTTTGGGTTTAATTTAGAAAGTTATTGTTAAATTAAACTCCGTAAATTACATGCAATAAAGATTTATTGAAGATTGATCATGGCTCATAATTATTTTCATGTTTTGATGAAATTTTGCATGAGTTTTGAACATGACATTAGGTTTTAAAAGCTTAATTTATGTTTTAGAATTTATGAGTTTGAAATTGGGTTTGATATGAAGAAAATAAATTAAATCTAAAATTGAACAAATTAAGAAATAAATTATAATTTGAATTTGACAATCAAGAATTAGTTTGATCTTAATTTGAATTTCATATTTTGTAAGAAAAATGAAGAAAAGTTTTGAATCATTATATTCATGAAGTTATAGCTTTAATCTTGACAAATTAACAAGGTTTTTACATTAAAATTTGGAAATTAAAAAACGAATAGAAATAACCGAAAGAATAAGTACCGAATGAACTGAATAGGTTTAAGAACCAACTAAATGAATTGAACATGTTTTGAGATATTGTGCTTGAATGTGTTTGTGTAGGTTAGACGCCGCACTGTGATCACATGTTTCAAGGAGCCAACTGTGAGTAACAACGTTATAAAACTATATTCAATTATAATTATTTCCTGAATGATTAACTGTACCGCTTTCTGAAATAATATTGTTTACTGAATGAATGTTTGTCTTATTTTATGAACTGTACTCGTGGCATCCATAGCAATTGACCGTTACTGTTACTGCTACTGCTACTGTTACTGCTACTGTTACAGAGATCTCTGTCAGTTCTAACTCTTGGAACTACTGTTTACTGTATTGATGGCCATCAATTGACTGTTTGTTCTTTAAGACCTACTGTATTGTTCTGCTATTGGATGTACCACATATGATTGCTATGATTTCCAATTGAATGATATGTTATGAGACATATTGATTGAGAAAATAATCTATTGATGAATTTGACTTTTTCAATTATTGTAAGAATATCATTCATAATTCCTTTACACAGTTGTTATTCACTGGGCTCTAACTCATTGTTTTATATTTATATGTAGGTGATCAAGTGCAAGAGTGGACTTAATGGGCGTCAACCTAAACTTTGTTTTGTCAAGCCAACTTTTGTGCCTCACTTTGAGGTCTTTACTAAGACAAGCTTCAAGGCTTCATGGGTGGTTTAGAGTTCACCCTTTTGTTTTGAACGTTACTGAGACTAGTTCTGAATGTTATCATATCTGAAGTTAAGACTGGTTTTGTTAATGGGATTTAATCCCTAATTATGTTGTGTTTTTGTACATAAGCTTGATGCTTGGACTGATGTGTATATACATATATGAAAGTTGTTTTGTTACATTTAAGTCTTCACAGCTCATCGGATGTTATCTTTTATTATTTACAAGCTTCCGTCAGTTTTTATTATTGTATTACTGATAAGCAGGCCTTTGGTAATCTCAAATTACTGGTTGGTCATGACGCTAAACCTATAGGGGGCGGGTTTGGGTCTTGACAGTAGGGAACTGAGGATATGAAAGCATTGCAAGAAAATATAAATTCATTGTTTTAGAGCAATTTGTTTTTAAGCTTTTGATTACGATTCTTGTAGTTCTTGAAGTGTCATTATTTGTTGATGTACATTAATTTATAGAAAAATAAATTAGTCTTTGATGCGAAGATCTCTCTCTCTCTTGACATCTCTTGACAAAGCCATTTTGGTAAGTACTGTATAAGTATATAGACATCTCTTGATATGTTGTGATGTTATGAGTTTGCGGGTTATTGGATTACCTTTACTTTACATGTAATGATATGAGAGATTAATACTCAGCTATTTGTTCCTATTTGTTTTGCTTAATAGAGTTGTTGTTGATGTTGGAAATTGGTCTCATATCGTTGTGGCAGTTTACAGACCTTGGGGGTTGCCTGAAAAAGGTTAATATAAAGTAGACTTACCAACTCTCTTCTGCTATTCAAGTTGCCATTCAAGTTTGAAGAAAAAAATTATCTAGCTTTGATTTGTATTACGAGTTTGATTTGATTTCTCGGAAAAAAATTCCACATTTCTGTTGATTGATGTCTTGTTTGGTTTCTATCAAAATTAAGAGAGCCATTCTTGCCTGTTGTTGGTTATATATTTATTTTATTGTTGGATAAATGGCAGTTGTTCAATTTTCTCGGGTTTGTTGTTGTACAATTTTTCTAATTTACTGTTGTATGAATGTCTTACAATTTAGAGAAAATTGGTCAAAATGGTGGTTGTTCAATTTTTTTCTAATTTGTTGTTGTTCAATTTTCTCTTGTTTGTTGTTGTATGAATGTCTTACAATCTAGAGAAAATTGGTCGAAATGGTGGTTGTTCAATTTTCTCTAGTTTGCTGTTGTATGAATATCTTACAGTCCAGAGAAAATTGGTCAAAATGGTGTTTGTTCAATTTTCTCTGGTTTGTTGTTGTTCAATTTTCTCTGATTTGTTGTTGTATGAATGTCTTACAGACCAGAGAAAACTGGTCAAAATGGTGGCTGTTCAGTTTTCTCTGGTTTGTTGTTGTTCAATTTTCTCTGGTTTGCTGTTGTATGAATGTCTTATAGTTCAAAGAAAATTAGTCAAAATGGTGGTTGTTCAATTTTCTCTGGTTTGTTGTTGAGTGAATGTTTTACAGTCCAGAGAAAATTAAACAACAAAAAACCAAAGAAAATTGGAAAAGAGCTATACAAATTTTCTCTAGATAGAGCCACACAAAGTCACACAAATTTTCTCTATCACAATTTTCTCTAGATAGAACCACACAAAGCCACACAAATTTTTTTCTAACATAGAGCCACACAAAGCCACACAAATTTTCTCTATATAATTTTCTCTGGATTTCTTTGGTACTCAGAGAAATTTCAATTTTCTATAGTTTGAAAGATGAGGAATGAAGTTGGAAGAGACGAGAGAACTGCAATTTTCTCTATATCAATTATGACTCTTACTTCTTGATTAATAGTTTCATTCTCTTTTGTTTTGTTATCTTTTAATATTTTCCTGGTTTGGAAGAGAAGGAGATTTACCCTGTAATAGAATTTGAATCTGATGCAGAAAATTCATCCAGAGAAATTTTCTGTGAAGTCCAGAGAAAATCCATCCAGAGAAATTCTCTAGATCGAATTTTCTCTGGATCGATGTTGAGGAACCCTGAGTATTTGGGACAAAGACTCGTTGAGTTGAGTGAAATTTTCTTAGTTTTAAGCAGTTCAGGATTTATATTTTTTTCATTTGTGGCATTATATTAATAGCTAGTTTAAAAATAAAATAAAAAAATGACGAGTCTTGGAAAACTATCACTCAAATATGATGTTGAATTATAGGAAAGTGAAAGTGAAGAAGACATTCTTGATGAAGGTGATGAGGAGGCAGATGAAGAGCATGATCAAGAACCAGAGGTCCCAGTACAACTTGCGCCTGTGGTGAATAAGGCCCCTGAAGTTTCTTCAGCACCTAAAGAGGCAACCAGAGAAAATTGCAGTTCTCTCTTCTCTTCCAACATCATTCTTCATCTTTCCCAAATTCTCTAGTTTGTTTATAATTATTGTTTCTCTTTTGCTTCTGAATAGTAATGAAGCCTTGTGAATGCACCCTGCAATAAATTACAAATTTATAGTCCAGAGAAATTCTCAACAATTCAAATTTATAGTTTAGAGAAATTCTCAATAATAATGAAGCTTTGTGAACCAGAATTTTTCTGTGAAATCCAGAGAAAATTCGACTAGAGAAATTCTCTGTGAACTAGAATTTCTTTGTGAAGTCCAGAGAAAATTCGTCCAAAGAAATTCTCTGTGAACTAGAATTTCTTTGTGAAGTCCAGAGAAAATTCGACCAAAGAAATTATCTGTGAAGTCCAGAGAAAATCCGTCCAAAGAAATTCTCTGGATCGAATTTTCTCTAGATTAATGTTGAGAGACCTTAGACATTATGAAAATATAGTGTCATTTATGCTATAAAATCTTAATACTAAGGATCTTAAAAAAAAATCCCCATTAGTTAGCTTATTTTTTCTTCCGTACTTCATTTGTTTGGGTGAAATTTTTTTATAGAAAACTTTTTTTAGAAATTTTTTTTTGAGAAAACATTGGTGGAAGTGGAGGTAGAGGTGGTGGGACATGGCATTGCTGATAGCGATGGTGATGGCAACAATGACTGTGGTAATATGATGAGATTAGTATGATTTTAGTCTGAAAAATGTTTTCTTTTAAAAATGAAAAAAATGAAAAATATTTTTCATTGATTTTAATTTTTATATCAAACACCAAAAAATATTTTATTTTTCACCCAAATAAATAGAGTATCAATCTCTCCACTATTAGAGATATTTAAATTAAAAATTATAAAAATAAAATAAATTTCTTGCTATTTCTTTCTACTTTACCATATTTCCCTTGTTTTTATTTATCCAAAGAAATGAGATGAATGAAAAGAAATGTATTTTTATTTTTAAACTCTAAATCAGGCCATCCAAACGAGGACTTGACTTTTAACGTGTGGAGAAAAAGGATCATTGAACCCCAGTCCCGTTGTTTTTATGCATTTGTTTTCACTGTATAATGCACATATGTTATATTATATTATATTATATATAAATAAATAAAGTGAAAGGGGTCATTGAAAGTCAACCTTGACTATGTCCGTTTGGTAGAGTTATGGGAAAGTGCTTATAATTTATAGTTTAACAGTTTATACCTTATAACAGTGAACATAAATTGATTTTTTACTTATAAATTAAGTTTCCCCTCCCTCACTCAAAGAATAAGTTGATTTTTAACTTACAAAAAGCTATAAACTGTATTATTAAGTTGAACCAAATACATCAAAATAGCTTAAATTAAGCTAAAAGCTAAAATAAAACCTTACCAAACAGGGCCTATGTGTGTAAATATATATGCAAACAAGCGAAAGGTATAGGTAGGGGATAAAAAAGAAAAGAAAGAAAAAAATATAATACTGATTTAAAATTATTTTTAAAAATTTACATTGAATTGTAATTATTCCTAATAAAATGATGATTTAAACATTATTTGATTTTAATGTGATTAGATATTAATGAGATTATTAAGATAACTTATACCATTAAAATTGGATGTAATAAAAGATCAATATATAATGTAATTAAAGATTAAGGATAATATTATAGGCGATAAATTATATAATGGGATAAATAAATGCAAAACAAATTTTGAAATGCCCCTTGACTCATTCATCATCCACCCCTTCTAATTTAATTTGGTCATCAAATAATGGGGCCTTAGATGTAGTGTGCACTAGCTTTGAACCCTTTGAAGAAGACGAAGGGATCAGATCAATACGTGTTGTCCTTTTACGATATGTTGAGAACTTTGGTGAGGAAGGAAAGAAAATGATTATATAAATCATTTTGAGAAAAAATATTTTCCTTTTATTTTAATAACTAAAAGAAAATAAATATTTTTTTTTCATATTTTATTTAATTAAATTACATTAAAAAAGAAAAGAAAAAAATTATTTCATATTACAATACGAAAATAACTTTTGATAAGTGTCACTTTTTTTGATTTTTTTTAAAAACTATATCCAAAATGGCAATTTGAATAAGAATTATAGCAAAATAGATTTAATTAACTTATTTTTTCTTTCATCCCTCATTTGTTTGGGTGATAGAAAAACCTTTTTCAGAAATTTTTTTTGGAAAAAATATTTTTCTATATTTGGTGGTGGTAAAACAAAGGTGGAGGTGAAGGTGGTGGAACATGGCAACGATGACAGCGATGGTGATGGGCACAGTCAGAGGAAGAGGGAGTGAGGGACAATGGGGTCACGTGCCCCCTTATATTTTGTGATTTTTTCATTTTACAAACGTAAAGAAAATATTTTAAATACGAAATTACAAAAATATTATTAGAGTGAAATGTTAATGACATTTTAAAACTTATGAGAACAATAATGGTTGTTTTGATTAAAAATGAAGGGATTACTATAAGCTATATTATCTATGAAAATTTTTGAATATAACGGTGATATCATTATTATTGACATGCAAGCATAATTAATCTTACTATAAAGATATGAAATTTATTAGATTGTGAGTTACATTTGACATGTGAGGTTCACCATCTATGTGTTTATTTACTATTAGTTGATGATATCATATACTAATGATGACGTGGTATTGCCATTATATTGAATAATTAATAAGTGTCTCTTCTAATATAATTTTTTTGGCTCTGCTACTAGTAGCAGTGGCAGTGGTGATGACAGTGGAGATGAGAGTGATAATGGTAATATGGTGAGATTAGTATAATTTTAATTTGAAAAATATTTTTTTCTTTTTAAAAGTGAAAAATATTTTTTGCCTTTGTAGGTTTGTTTTCTATTCATTATGAAAAATATTTTCTATTACTTTAATTTTTTATTGTATCAAACACTAAAAAATACAAAAAATATTTTATTTTTCGCCCAAATAAATAGAGTATCAATCTCTCCACTTTTAGAGATATTTAAATTAAAAATTATAAGATAAAATAAATTTCTATCAATTTTTGTTTCTATTTTACCATATTTCTCTTGTCGTTATTTATCCAAAGAAATGATGTGAACGAGAAGAAATGTATTTTATTTTTAAACTCTAAACCAGCCAATCCAAACGAGGACTTGACTTTTACCGGGTGAAGAAAAAGGATCATTGAACCCCAACCCCGTTGTTTTTATGCATTTGTATAAATAAAGTGAAAGGGGCCATTGAACCCTAACGTTGACGTTGTTTTTATTAGACATTATATACATGTACATGTATGCAAAGTGAAAGGTGTAGGTAGGGGAAAAAAACGAAAAGAAAGAAAAGAAGAGCAAGAACAAATTGGGGGTTAGGGATTGCATCGATAATATGGGGGAGGAGGAAGAAGAACAAATTTTGGAGAGACTGAGGAACCAACCCATCTACTCGCCACCACCGTCTCCCACCTCCGTCTTCCTCATCTCTCCACAACTCTACTTCTCACAACCACCGCCGCTCAGCCCCCAACGCCACTTCTCACCACCACCAACTACCTCCGTCCTCGGTTTCTCAGCACTTCCCAACTTCCGATCCCTAGTCAGAATAGGACTGCCTCCATCTAGATGCCAAATTATATGTGAGACCTCTCTCTCTCTCTCTCTCTCTCTCTCTCTGTGTTCACGTTGCTTTCCCCCTTACATTTTGGTCAAATTTTTGGAATTTTTTTTTTCACCGGTAAAAATATAGAAAATATTACTTTTTCTTTTATACCTCATGTGAGGGTAACATGATCATAGGGTCCGTTTGTTTGATGGATTATCTTGGATGTGATTTTGCTTAGTTGTTATTTAGGTAGATATATAAGATAAATTTTAAATTGTATTTGTTTATAAATTAGAGTAATATTTTCAGTTGATTGGAATTAAATTTATAAATTTACGTAAAAAAATCTCAAAATGTATAATACGTTATTTTATTATTTTGTAAAGTGGGGATAAATTAATAATTTCATGGGATTGGATTGTGTATCCTTAGAGCATCTCTAACCATCTTTTTTTTTTTTTTTTCTTTTTCAAATTTTAACTAAAAAGTGTATTTCCTATTTAAAAAATTACTTTTTCAATTATCATCTTTAATAATACTCTCTACTTTTCCTCTATATATTTTAAATATTTTTTAAAAATATGTTTTTTTTAATCTTTTTTTTTATTAAAAATATTTTTCCAAACTTTTTTCTCCCTTCTCTACCATCTGAGAAAAGGACAAGGGACAAGAGGAAAAAATGTTTTTTAAATTGTAGGTAAAGAAGGAGTTGAGTATGGTGATTATTGAAGAGAATTGTTTTGTGTTTCACTCTCTAAAGTTGGGCAAAAGTGAGGATAAGAGACTATTGAGATGCTCTAACCCTTCCGTGAGATTGGTAGTCCTGCTATTGGGTGGGATTAGTAGTTCAGCCTAACAATGTTGTTGCCAATTAACCAGCCAAACATGCCATATGTAAGGCTTATCTCACTAATAATTCAATCTCCTACTCAGTCAGTCGGCCAAACAAACTGGGCATATTGTAACTTGACCAAAAGTGAGGAGTTGTCTTCTACAATTGAAAAATAAGGAACAAGTGATATTTGATGTAAGTTATGCAAAGCGTAATTACATTCTTTTTAAGTGTTTATTTATAACTTATAATTTTCAAAAAAAAAAAAAATAAATAAATAAATTGAAATCGTTAATTTTGTTATGTTATTTGCGTGAGTTGGAACTTGAGGTTTTCCTGAATTCTAGAAGATTTTGTGTGCAAGTAATTAATGGTTTTACTTTCTTTCTTTGTTTTTTGGCTTAATAATTATTGGTTTTACTTACCTTGATTGGTAATCATGTATGTCTAAAGGCTTTTTAACGTTTCCTGTACTGAATTTTGAATTTTGGTATTGGCTTATTTGATATTACAAAGGTTTAGTTGCTAAATTGCGTCAAATTTTCATCAATTACAGATATTACGGTGTTCGAATTACACGAGTTCTCTTTCTCCGGAAGAAAAGATAACAGAAACTTAAGCGTGACCATTTTGCCAAGTCCTCTCTATTTATCAGTATATGATTCATTTCAAAGGGGCAAATAGTTTTGCTCTACCTTGTTTTCATTGTCACTCACTTATACTTTCAATTCTATTTGTCAATTATCTTGATAACAATAATTTTCTCACTAAATTTATTCGCATATGAATTGTGAAATCAAAATCAATTACATTGGCACAAGGCTTTTTATTCACTTTTTTTATTTTATATATATATATATATATATATTTTTTATTTTAATTTTCTATTATTGATTATAATTGTTATCAAAAGACAAATAATTCTCCAATTTTGCGTTTGGGTCTCATATTTGAGGGAAAAAAGAAAAAATAATAATAATAATATAAGAAAATGAAGTAAAAGAAGCTACTTTTTATTTTTATTCTTGTAAATTTGGTTGGGTGAGGAAAATAGAAACAAGATTAATAGATATTAGTCAAAAATCCATTTTTCATTTAGTCAGAGTATATATATTTATGTAATTTCATTTCTCTTATATTTTTCATTGCCTAACGCTGTGTTTAGTTGGGGGATTTGGGAAGGGATTTAGAAACAGAAAGGGAAAAGGTAGGTGAAATGTAAATAAAATATACTACATTTTACCTAGTTTCACACACTTTTTTCCTTTCTCTTTTCAAATCTCTTCTTAAATCTTTCGACCAAACACAGCGTTAGACAAATTGAAGATCCAAGCATTTAAAATTGTGAATTGATTGTATTCGCATACGTGTTTTAAATTACTCAAAATTATGTGAGAACAAAAACTAGGAAGGCTTTCTTTTACCAAGCTTCCAGCTCTTTTAATAGACATCTCAAGAACTAATAGCTAGTATTGATGTCCTCTCTCTCTCTCTCTTTTTTTATTTTTTTTCTTTCTCCTTTTTAGTTCCAGCTAGTAATTATTTGTGCATGGTATAAAATTAGCCATGCAGTAGGTATGAAGGGAACTATGAAGCATATATGAGTACTTCAAAAATATTATCATTCGAGTATTGAGTACTTATTTGGTAGGAGTACACGTGTTGGGCATGTGAAACACGTGTCCAGTATACGAGATATTTTAGGCTTGGCATGGGTATGACACAAAGATGACTTGGGTACTTTTGTTGGTACTATAAATGTAATTTTAATTTTTTTTTAAAAAAAGGATAGTAAAATAATTATATAGTGTATTTTCAAAACTTTAAAAATATAGGATATTTTTACAATTATCAAAATATATAAAATACTTTGAATTCTTTTGGGCAAATTACATATATCTCTCTCGAGGTTTAGTTAAATTACAGATACCTCCCTGAAGTTTATATTTTCATAACAAATTGCCTCCTGAGGTTTCTATTTTCATTACAAATTACCCCCTAATTTGTTATGAAAATATAACCTTTAGGGAGTATCTGTAATTTCTCAAATCTCAGGGAGTATTTATAATTTAGCTAAACCTCGAGGGGTATATGTAATTTGCCCAATTCTTTTTTGACCAATAGAAAAATACTTTAATTATTTTTTACATTTAATTTTTAATTATTATATGTTATGTACTAGCACAAATTATAATTATATATATATATATATATATACATTTATAGACATATTGAACCGTATCCTTATCTTATTATTATTTTTTTAATTTTATCATTTCGACATATCCATAATATATCCCGCACTCAGTGTTTCCTAGGAAGGGGACTTAATGCATATGTCTGCTCGAGACAGTGGCTTTAGTATAAAAGGGACCTTTATAAAAGCTTACATTTGTCTAATTTAGTGGCCATTTTAACAAATATGAAATTATAGCTAGGTTCTCAAACATTACCCATGTCAGATATTGTAACTTTCCCTTCATCAAATATTCGTTGGAATTTTCCCTGCAGAAAGTAGCCGTTGATGTTTGCGATGGCATTCACAAACTTGATTTGTGGTTTCAACCATATCCACAGACCCAGCGTGTTAGATCTTCACCTTGGCGTATAGTCCTAACAGATAAAGGAGACATGGGGCAATGCCATTCATAAACCACTAAAGAGAAATTTAGAGGATCAATAATACTAGGTATCATAAAAGAAGTATTATGAAAACTATTCATGAAGATTCTCCACTCTTGGATTAGTTTATAGTATTTGTAGTGTTTTATTGTTTGTTATACAATCACTCTTGAATTAGTTTCATAAATTTTTCATGATATTCTTTTCATGATGTGTAGCAATATTTAGAGGATTACGCACAAGATTTTGGCGGTGCAGTTGACGTTATTCTGATGTTCCTTGATGGTAAGCTTCTACACTTTCATAAAGTCTTGCTACCAATTTAATGGAAGCAACATAAAAAGTAAGGGCTATTTGCATTTTGCACTCCTTTTTTCATAATTACATTTCATATTTTCATTTTAGCATTTAAAGTGATGCATAATATAATTTTCAATGCATACTAAAATGCTTAAATTTTGACTGCAATTATCAAAAAAATAACGTGAATAATAATCCTCTATGAAATTTTTTTTAATTTTTTTTAATATTATATATATATATATATATATACATTTTTTGTTCATGCAATTAACATATCAGTGAAGCACATTTGTAGAAAGCATGGGATCTATCGTTGGCTATTTTGATAAGTAACTCACTTATATTTTCATTTTTAGTTATTATCTCCTTTTCTTTTATTATTAATTATTTTTTGAAGTTGCAAGTATTATAAAAAGACCACTAATTTTCTCACTAAATCTGTACTACTATAAAAGAGTGAGCGTTAAAAGTGTTTTCTACATTTTGTATTCAATGGCATATTTACACACGAATTATAACTTAAAGTGAACCATTATACTTTCTGCAAAAGACTTCTTACGCGGGAAGTTATTTTATGATTCTAGAATTTGATTCAAATTCAAACACCAATAAGCCACAACTCTTTGTATCTTTTCTAATCATACGAAGTTGTGACTAATTGGCCAAAGGGTGCCCTAGCATCTATAAAGGGTTCGGGCCATATAATATAACACAATTTTTTGTTTATTTCTTCTCCTCAACCATTTGAAACACACTAAACTATACTTTTTCCTTTTTATTAAAATCTTTTATGCCCTGATTTCACAATAGAAATCTTTTTTAATCGCAATTGACAGCATGTGAAAAATCATGAATTCCCAATTTTTAGTGTCTAATGCCATAGAGTCTAAGGCGAAGATTTTGCTATCCTCAATAGTAAATATGCAAGATGTTGACTGATAGTGCTGGCATAAAATAAACCACTAAAAAAATTATTAATTTGTGTTGAACTTTAAGATGTTTTGATCTAACTTTTTTGTTTTTCGTTTTTTGTGTTTTTGGGTGTGATTTTGAATTTTTTTTTTTTATCTTCTGTCATTTTTATTTTATTTAATTTTATATTTGAGTTAATTTTTTTTAGATGCACCTAAATGATAAAATATATGTGAAGACATCTTAAAAAAATGACCCTCCAAAAAATGTGCATAATTTTTATTATTTATTATTTTTCTTTAGTATCTTTTTTTTTTTTTCCAGATTTGTTCACATATATTTAATTTTGTATTTTATATTAGATGTATTTAAAAAGTAGAATAAAAATTCACTATAATATGAAGGAAAAAAAAATTAACTAAACACTAAAAAAAAAAAAAATACAAAATATAAGAAGCCTAAAACAAATTTTGAAAACTAAACCAAGAAATTTATACCACAATTCCTGAGGTAGCAAACTAATGACAATGTATTTTATAAAATGTTTCTATAAAGTTCAATTATACATAATGATGAATTTCAATCTAATTTTACCTTTTTGATTTAATATGAATAATAATTTTATAAAAAATTTAATTTATTTATACTTATATTTTTTAATTATACAAATTATGAATATTATATTAACCAAAGTCATAAATCACAATTAGATCAAAAGAGCTATAGTATAAAATTCATCATTTTCTATTATTTGAAATTATGATTTTTTTATTATTTTATTTTATAAAAAAATATGTTAACAATTCAAAAGACAAAATTTTAGTATAATTCCATCAATACAGTTCTGAAAATTAATATTGCGATGGATTCATATATTTCTTAATGCACTTTTAATGAGAAGGGTAAAATTAGAGAGGGGGGAGGGAGGGGGGATTATTATGGAAAATTTAATTTTTTTAGGAACAATTTGTAGAAAATAGAATTTAGTTATCCGTATTCGAATTTCATAGGATTCAATGGTAATTGTCAAAACAAAATAAAGCACAATAATTTTTTCAATTTGGTTGCTAAAATAATCTCTCTCTGGTAAGGTGTGGCAATATAACCATGTGGCAAGCAATTGAATTTGAAGACATTATTAAAAGTTGACAAAGAGATTATTACCAAATTTGTTCATATAAAAAGATTTGATAATTGTTTGCACACGTCGCGTGCATCGAATGTGCACATTTAAGATGTGTCCTTTTACGTGCACTAGGAAAATCTTATAGTGTGCATCTCATTAGAGGTGCATATCATATGCATCATATTACAAATTAATATAATTGTATTACAAAATTTTGTAACATTAGCCACAAAAGGCGTAGCATCAACATTGGCGTAACAAAATATATCGTAATCAAATTATGAATTTTTGTTACATGAACTAAAAAATTTTGAACATTTTATTATATTAATTTATAACAAAATTACACATTTTATAGTTGGTATTGTGAAATTTTCTAATAAAATAGACTTTCCCCGTGCACTATCATAAATTTCTCTGAACCCAATAATATTGTGTTGACTACATTTTTATGAAATTTTGAAAGTGTTGATATTTTTTTAGTTTTTTTTTTTTTTAATTTTTTAATTATGGGCAAAATCTATCAAATACCCATAATTCTCCATCCCTCCCAAACCCACCCATCCCCCTATTGGGTTTGAATCCCTAACCTTCGAAGGAAAAATTATACAATAATTTCGAAATATTGCATGATCATACTCTCTTATTAATCACTATTTAATATATTCCCTCATATTTCTCAATCATACAACACAGAGAGCCAATATTTCATCTTTTTTACTAATCATATTATTATGGAACACCATGTAGTCATACTCTGGATGAAAGTGATGCCACTAGACCATAAATTTATGGGTAAATTACACTGACAACTCCCAAGGTTTTTGTTTAATAAAGATCTCTCCTTACATTTGAAAAATTATATTCCCCTTTTTGAGATTTGTAATCTCATTACAAATTGCCTCATGAGTTGTTAATGTCGTATCCAAATTTTTTTTAAATGACCATCTTACCTTCTTTATATAAATTTTTATATAAGAATATAATTTTTTATTTTTATTTCCACCATTATATATATTTAAAAAGTATAAAATTTGTACACAAAATTTTAAAAAAATTCATGGAATACAACAAAATAAGATAATGTATTGAATTTTTGTATTTGGTTTTAAAAAAAAAAATCACAAAATATTATATATTTCTTAAGTATATCTGGATTAGGTGTATTTAAAAAAAAAAAATTAAAAAATGCTTAAAATATTAAAAAAATCAGTAAAAATAATAACAAAAAAAAAACTCAATTTTTTGTATGGGTTAAATCAAAGAAAATGATTGTTATTTCTCTTGAAATTGCATGAACTAAATATTTGCATTATTTTATTATTTTATATGTAAAAAAACTAATGGACAAATGTGGCATTTTAATCTGATAGGAGATAAGTGTAATTTTTCGAATGTGAGGGAGATTTATATTAAACAGAAGGTGTCAGGGTAATTTATGCTAAATTTACTGATTCGATTACTCATATTTATTTCTGATATTTAAAAAAAAATTAAAAAAATATAATTATTATAGCATTATTGATTTAAAAAATAATAAATGGTGCATCTCATCTCAATTGACAAGCATGTATGCCTGAACCATTCTTTGATTTTCCTGCAGAAATTCCGAGGTGGTGGTGGCGGTGGCGGTGGCGGCAGCGTTTGAAACTGAAATCTGGTATGGCTTATTTATACCAGTCGAAATTCATTTTAGTTGTTATTAATGGCTTCAAAATTTCGTCAATTATTTTTATGATCCGAGAGATTTCACGTGCCAGATCTTCTTAGCTCATTGTGTGTATGTGAAAAAGAACCAGACGATATTGCAGAAATGACACGAACATTCGTGCTAGAATCTATTCCATCGGGGCTTTTCCTTCCGCCAAAAAGTCCCAAAATGGTATCAATCTGGAGTTGTTTATCAGTAGTGAAAATATCACGCAAGATTTCAATTGGCTTATTACAAGTGCTTCCGTCAGTCCAACTACCACAAACTCTGCATATTGTTATAGTTGAAGAGAAAATGACACGGCTGCTTAGCTGCTCAGGGGAATTCATTTCTCAGGTTCGTCCTCTATATTCAGTATCACGTTATGTTATGTTGGACCTTCATTTCTAAGGGTAATTGTTTTTCTCTCCCTTGTTTTTTATTTATTTTTCCCACCACTAGCTCACTTATATTTTCATTTCTATATCACTGTCTGGGATAAAAGCACAGAGCCTGTGCATCCATTCCATATTTGTGGATTGGACAGTCCAGCTGGACTCTTGGAGCCCACCACAAGCCCCATCTGGATGATCTACTTCATTCGTTTTGTAGAAAAGTTTATATGTAAAGTAAAAAAAAAAAAAAAAAAATTAACAGTTTATTTTAAAAATCATTCTTACCCTTCATTTTTATTTTTATTTTTATTTTTAATATGTCCATTGTCCAGCTTTCCTTCTCATTGGGCATAGAAGAAAATATATCCACAAGGGACAATTTATAAAATCTTGCATTTTGTCAGAATTTGTGGCCATTTTAACAAATATTTTATTGTAGCTAAGTTCTCAAACATTAGCTATATCATCCACATTGATGAAATTTCAATTTTTAACAAACTTTTTAACTTCGATTTGAGGTGATCAGAAACATTATGCAAACTTATATTCGGCTGCACTTTGAACTAAGCATTTGTTTTCAAGTAGTATGACAAAATGAATGTGATTGATAACAACAGTAGCATCTAAGGTTTGGGTTATAAACAAGACTCATCAATGATTAGCAACTCAAATTTACTAATCTTCTCATTGAACTTCAAATTGGTTACACGAAGGATTCTTCTTTAGCAGAGGAAAGATCAGTTGAAATTACGGTGGAAGTTGATGCTACAAACAATGGAGCACATGGTGTCAAGGCATATGAAAACTTCCCTATTGTATCTCATTCAGAGAAGAAAAATATGACAGACAAATTAAAGAGAAATTACAAAAGCATTAGTGTACTTACTCGGGAGAATCTCGAACAACATTTTGGCAGTAGTCGTGAAGATGTTGCAAACAGTTTTGGAGGTAAGATTCTACACTTAATAAAGTGAAGCTGCAAATCTTGTGTGTTTTTTTGGTTTTGTTTTTGAACCTTTGTAATTCTTATTGTTTTCTTTGTGGAAGTAATATAAGAATGTGATTCCAATATCTTAGATTCTTGCTCGTGCAGTTAGCGTATCTACAATGAAGCGCATATGTAGGAAGCATGGGATCTCTCGGTGGCCATTTCAACCAGTAACTCACTTATATTTTTATTTTTATTTGTCACTGCATTTTATTAGTCATAATCATTATGGAAAGTAATAATTTTCTCACTAAATTTATTATGAATTGTGAAATCAGATCGATTACATTGCCATATGGTTTTTAAAATCACTAATATTTTCATTTTGACAGATTTCTAGCTCTTTTAATGGACATCTCAATGATTGATAGCTAGAATTAATGTTTTTTTTTTCTTCCTTCAATGAACTTATGTTTGGTAAACTAGGAGAGAAAAAAGGAAAGATTGACGGAAGTTATCAGTCCATCTATGCATGAGAAACATGATTCGAGGCTTCGATGCATCCAAAAACCCCTACATGCTAGATCTTCACCTCGAACTATAGCCTTACTAGATGGAGGAGAGATGGTGCAACTTGATTCATCAAAACAACAATCATTGGTGGAATTTGATGTTACAACCAATAGTGCTCATCTTGTCAAGGCAAGTCAGAGCTGCTCTACCGTATCTCATTTAGATGAGACAAATTCAAGAGAGACATTAAAGAGAAAATGCACAACAGAGAATGTACTTAGTTTTGAGGATCTCCAACAACATTTTGGTTGTAAACTTGACGATGCTGCTAAGGCCCTTGGTGGTAAGCTCGTACAATTAAATAAAGTGTTGCTTTGACCAATATAAAAGTAGTCGTCTTATCTGAAGTCTTGCTCATGCAGTTAGTGTATCCACAGTGAAGCGCATCAGCAGGCAACATGGGATCCCTCGGTGGCCATCTCATAAGAAAAGAAAAGGTAATTGGTCTCTCCTTAAGCAAAAGCTTGTAATTAAATCTGTCCAAATTGTAGAGGAACCATTCAGTTCTCCATGTTCACTTCTAGTTGCACTGGATTCAATTATCAAAACTCATCACGGTATGAAAAATAAAAATAAAAATCATAATAAAAAAGCTCTGTCCTCCTTAAAAAACTATTTGAATTGTTTAAGAAGAAAGAAATGGAGAGCAATGATAATTCTCCGTAATTCACTTTTTGAATCGATCCGCAAGTTGAGGGATTTGGAGAGAAAGGGGATGGGAGTTGGCGATTTTACAAAAAATGGTTTCCATTTTTACCCGTTCACATTATAGGAAAATTATTAGGTAGTCCTAAAGTACTATGTGACATGGTTCACATGGTGTTCCCAACCAATGAAAAACTGCAAAACATATTAGGTGGGTCATCCCTTATCTACCAACTAATAATTATTCTACGTTAAACTATAACCATTTTTCATTTCTTTTCTCTCGTGTGATCTTTTTTGTGCAAGAGAGGGGGTATAAAATTCTCATTTCCATACCTTTCTTCCCTAAACTATCCAAGTAAGAAGAAAAGATATCTTTGTTTTTCTCTTCTTCGCATTTATTTTTCTTTTATCTAACCACTTCTCTTCTTTTCTCTCTCAGTTTCCAAAACGGATTGTATACTCCTTGAACCACAGGGAGAAAAGGATGTGTCATCCACCTGCAGCCAGATGCCAACTGATGGGCAAACAGAGAGAGGGAATGAAATGGTTGGACAGCTTCAGGACCAAAATGAAGGCCCAAACTTGTTGAATACAGAGAATGGTTCAAACAAAGAGAGCATAACAACCCTTATTTTTGAGGATTCTGTCCCTGGTAATTATCCTACCATGAATTTGTCTATTTCATCTACACAGAGAAAGTGAAAAAGCCGGGGTTTTCTTTGAATTGACATTTCAACTGAAAGGATTGACTCCATTGAGAAGTATAATACATTATCCCACGTTAGACTATAACCGTCTTTCGTTTCTTTTCTCTCATGTTTATCTTTTTCATCCAATAGAGGAGGATAACACTCTATTTTCCATACATTTCTTTTGTGAACCATCCAAATCAGCAGTAAAATATTATTCACTTTGCTTGGTTAGAGTTTTCCAAAAGCACTTTTCAGAAAATTTTACTTTCTTATTTTGTGTATTTTTTTATTTTTACTGAATTTTTTTAATATTTTAAGCAATTTTTTTTTTAATTTTTAGACACATTTAACATAAGTATACCTAAAAAGTAAAACAATTGTGAAAAAAACCTTTTAAAATTTCACTAAATACCAAAAATGCAAAAAAAATACGAGAATTCAATACATTTTTTATATTTTTATGTATTTATTAATTTTTTAAAATATTTTTTCACAAATTTTTTATTTTTTAGATACATCTAAGTAAGGTGCATCTAAAAAAATATATTTAAAATTTAAAAATATTCACTAAAAATAAAAAATAAAAAACACGAAAATCAAAAAACGTAATTTTCAAAAAATTTAATCCAAAAAACTCAAACCAAAAACACTGATTGTTTTTCTCATCGTCTCATTTATTTCTCTCTTATCTAACAAATTCTTTTCTTTTCTCTTTCAATTTCCGAAATTGACTGTATACTCTCTGAACCAGAGGGAGAAAAGAATGTGTCACCTACCTGCAAGACACCAATTGTTGGGATTGTGCTAGATTTTATAAAAGGCCCAAACTTGTCGAATACAGAGAATCATTCAAACAAAAAGAGAATAACAACTCCTACTTTTCTAGATTCTGTCCCTGGTAATTATCCGTCAATAAACTTGTTTATTTCATCTATGAGCAATGATTGAGACCCCCACCTCCACAACTCCTACATTTCCAGATTCTGTCCTGGTAATTATCCTACCATAAACTTGTCTATTTCATCTACGAGCAATGATTGAGACCCCACCTCCACAAAACCCTCACAAGACCCTTACAAATCTGGACCACTCATGATGTCAACCCTACACTTACATGAGTGAGCCACATACATACATGGAGGGCCAGAATCACTTTGGGGGTGTAGAGGTCATCCCTAAAGGGGATCCCAAACATTTTCCGTCATCTACTACTACAGAGAAAGTGCAGAAGCAGGGGCTTTCTCTGAATTGACATTTCAACCAAAAGAATCGACTCCATCAAAGATAATCCCACATTATACTATAACCGTCTTTCGCTTCTGTTTCTCTCCTCTTATCTTTTTTGTACAATAGAGGAGGATAACACTCTATTTTACATACTTTTCTCTCCTAAACTATCCAAATAAGAAAAAACAATATCATTGTTTTTCTCTTATTTATTTCTATATTATCTAACCATTTATTTTCTTTTCTCTTTCAGTTTTTGAAAGAGACTGTATACTCCTTGAACCACAAGGAGAAAAAAATGCGTCACCCACCCACAAGACTCCAACTAATGGGCAAACAGAGGTAGCGAATGGAATGGTTGGACACATTCGAGACCAAAATGGGATTGTGCCAGAATTTATAGAAGGCCCAAACTTGTCGAATATAGAGAATCGTTCAAATGAAAAGAGCTTAACAACTCCTAATTTTCAAGATTCTGCCCCCGGTAATTATCCTGCCATGGATTTTTCTATTTCATCTACCTACAGAGAAAGTGGTGAAGCAGGTGGTTCTTCTGAGTTGGCATTTCAACCGAAAGAATTGACTCAATCGACGGCTTATCCAAATCCCGACACTTGTATGTTTACACAGCCGCATATATCATTAAGAGAGATGCTAATTGAGAATGTGGGGAGTTCAAAAGATTCTAGAAATTTCCCTACTTCAGCAATGGGGTTTCTTACGGGGGGACTTGTCTCTGAATCTAGTTGGACAATGCCTTTGTGTTCTGATCAAGCTCCAATGCAAACCATGACTACTATTCCCCATACAATGCCACATCTCACAGAAAAGCAAGATATAAGGACTGTGACGTTTAAGGCACAATATAGAGATAAGAAAATAAAATTTCGTCTCTCTTTATCATCGGGAATTGTCGAATTGAAGAAAGAAGTGACAAATAGACTGGGAGAGCTTGGCATCTTTGAGGTCCATTATCAAGATAATGATAATGAGTGGATTTTAATAGGCTGTGATACAGACGTATTAGACTGTTTCGAACTTTCGAGTTCATCGGGGAATGAAGTAGTTAGATTATTGGTTCGTGATTAGGTTGGCAATTCCAAGAATTTCAGTAAAAGCTGCATAAGGTTGAAGAGCAAAAGGTCATAGAATGCTACATTACTACAATGTCTATATTTCAGAGCTCGTTTAAGGTTTTGGGGATTTTTTGGCTTATGATTTTGTGAGTTGATTTGCTTTTTGTGTGTGTGTGTGTGTGTGTGTGTGTGTGTGTTTTAGTTTGGTTTCTAGAAAACTAGTTTTTATTTATTTACTTTTTTCTTGTGTGCTTTCTTTCTGTTGGAGCTTGATTGTTGTCTCTAGGCTGCGTAACATTTACTGATGTTTGTGTTCTCAGCTAAGATAGGATACACACTTGTTTGGTTTTAGGATTCAAAATTTACTTTTGCGAAAATTAAAAAAATTTTATTTTCGTCATTTTTTTGTTTTCATTAATTTTTTTTAATTTTTAGATACACTTAATATAAAAGGGCAAATTACAAACACCTCCCATCGAGGTTTGGTAAAAATATAAATTTTTTCCTGAGGTTTGAGAAATTACATCCCGCCTCCTGAGATTTATATTTCCATAACAAATTGTCCTCTGAGGTTTTTATTTTCATACAGATTCCCCCCTAATTTTTCTTATTTTGTTATGAAAATTTGACTCTCAGGGGGGCAATTTGTAATTTCTCAAACCTCAGGAGAAAATTTGTATTTTCATCAAACCTCGAGGGGGTGTTTGTAATTTTCCCTAATATAAATACACTTAAAAAAGTATATAATATTTGTGAAAAATATCTTTAAAAAATTCATTAAATATAAAAAATATTAAAAAAAATAAGAATTCAGTACATTTTCATATTCTTGTGTATTTATTGATTTTTTAAAATAGTTTTTTTTTATAAATATTTTACTTTTTATATATATCTAAGTAAGGTACATCTAAAAAAATAAAATAAAAAATTGTTTAAAATTTTAAAAATATTCACTAAAAAAAGCATGAAAAAACAAACTCAATTTTAAAAAAATTAAATTTAGAAATTTGAAATCAAACACAATGTAGAAGAAGGTTTTGATCCAAATACAACACCCAAATCAAAACCAAAACCAAAACCATATGGTTGATTTAGGTGTTGTATTTAGATCATATATATATATATATATAAATTTAGGGCAAATTACAACAACAACAAAAATAAATAATCCAAGTTTTGCGTATTTTTCAAATTAAATCTCAAGTTTCAATTGCATCAATTTATACTTTGAATTTTAAACTTTAACACAATTTGAATACTCCATCCATGTCAATTATCTATTTTCGTTAATAAATTTAACAGATAAATTATCTACAATACATATGACATTATTTCATTGGTTTTTTTTTTTCCTCGAATTTTTATAGGGTAAATTACATCCACACCCCTTAGGTTTATCTTTAATACAACCCTCTCCTTGTACTAGAAATTACATTATCCCCCCCTAAAGTTTATATTCACATTACAAATTTGTCCCTTCTATTAATTAGCAGTTAGACCAATTAACAATTTTTGTTTATGTCAGCAATTTATTTATTTAAAATGCCAATTTTATCCCTACATCCCCCTTTCTCTTTATGGATGTGCAAAAACCATTTGCAAAAACCCAGAAAAAAATAAAAATCATTTGCAGAGACTCCCCCCCCAAAAAAAAAAACAAAAAATTTGAACAAATTATTTATGAAACATCTCAGCAAACCATTTCACCAAACAAGTCAATCAATCTTACACACATTTCAATAATAGTATCACCGGTAAATAAATATGAACCAAAACCTATTTCCAACTCATTAATCATGAACAAGCATATTCCCTCTTTGCATCTCCCTCAACATCCAGCACACAACTCTTAGCACTAAACCCAACACCCCCCACTCAATCCGTCATCTCCAATATCCAACGTCCGAGGCCCCCATGTCAGCGCGAGGATATACTAGTCCGAATTCGAGGGCTCCTATATCGCACTTCACCGTCGGACATAAATGAGGCGTTCACGATCAGTTTTCCACCCGCATAACAATATTCTCAAAACCCATTCAAAGATCGTTATACAGATGTAAAGCTTGTAGAAGAATGAAAACATTAGTTTTGAACATTCAAACTACTCGTTAGCGATTAAAATAGGAAAATTTACCAATAAATCCCATTTCACAAACTATTAAACCAATTAGTCCCAACTTTATTCTTTTGTTCGAATAAGTCCTATCAGTGGGGAAGTTTATTTCTTATTGATCCTATTTTTCATATTTAGTGTAACTGTATGGACGATTTTACCCATTATTATTTTGTTTCCATGTACTGGTGGGGCTTCACCATCACTTCACCATTTCCCACATTATAACTCTTCCCCTCTTCTGTCTGCAACCCACCCGCGCTTCTCTCTCTCTCAAATTTCGTTCCCTCCAAACCCTTCCACAGATTTAATCTAACAAAACTCCTCTCATCTCTCATTTCAGATCTCTCTCTCTCTCTCATCTCAGACCCCATCTTTAGGACAGGTTGAACAGACCAAGCGCCGGACGGGCAAGTTGTGGGACCGAGCACGATGGTTAGTTCGATCAGGGTAACATATCGATTTGGGAAAATAGGTGACCGAACATTGAACAAGGCAAACAGTGACCGGGAAAAGAAATGAGCTCGGCTAATGAATATAACCCCGGTCACGCTAACGCAGATGAAATTAAGGGGCAATTGAGAGGGAGATTTATGACTTAATAATGGGCCGAGCTAGTTTGGGCCGGAGTCCGGGGTCTTTACTTGGTCGGGTGTTGGGTGCGTTCCAGATAGAAGATTTAGGCCTTGTTTGGTTTGTTTTTGATAAACAAGATTTAGAATTTTTTTTTTATTTTTTATTTTGTTTGGTTTAGTGATTTTGGGGAAAAAAAAATTGTGTGTGTGTGTGTATCTGTGTGTGTATGTATGTATCTGTGTGTGTCTGTGTGTGTGTGTGTATCTCTGTGTGTGTGTGTGTGTATGTATCTGTGTGTGTATCTCTGTGTGTGTGTGTCTGTGTGTGTGTGTCTGTGTATCTGTGAGCAACGGTTAGAGATGAGGGTAATTACGTCCCTCACAATTAAATGGGACTAAACGGTTTACTAGAATAAAAATGGGACTAATTGGTTCATAAGTTTACATTTTGGGATTTATTGGTAAATCTCCCATGAAAATAATCACAAAAAAAAAAAATTAATAAAAACAAAATATTATATTTAAATTATAATTATTTCATTTTTTTCTATAAAAGTCAAAAAAGTAAAAAAAAATCATCCTGACTTTTTGATTTTTTTTGCTATTTTAGCTTGGGGCTAAAAAATCTCGTTCGGGAAAGGCTTTTAGCTTTTTTGGTTTTTTTGGCTCTTTTATGAGAGAAAAAATGTAATGATTATGAGTTGAATGTGATGCTTCGTTTTTTGTGACTATTTTAACCTAAAAAAACCTAACCTTTTGCTTCCCAAAATAAAACCTTTTTAATCCCAGACTAAAATAATTAAAAAATCCAATTCACATCCTAAACAAAAGCCCATATTAATTTTATGCTTCATCCTAAATTCGTTTTACTGTTTTCAGTCGTAAACTTAGGCCTAGTTTGGCAACTCTTAAAAAATTCAAAAACTCAAAAAGTCACTATCCTATTTAAATCACATCATCTTATTTAAGTCACATCACCTCTCTAACACATCACTTCAAACCCAACCCAAACCCAATCCATATTTCATAAAAAGTCAAAAAGTATGTAACGCCCTCAGAATAATAACATTAAACCCATCAAATAAGACATGCATTGACAAATAAACTAACCACATTCCTTTATTCCTTAGAGTTCCATTACATAGGTATTACATGTTAACATCATAACAAAATGCCCTACGGGCTTACAGCTTTCCAAGTTAACACTTGGTTACAACAAAAGAGTACTAACTCATTTACACATTAAGCCCTGGGCTTGAAGTTACATGTAATACATCAAAAGTTAAGCGACAAAAGTACGTCCGCCACTAGCCTCCCAGCTATGTCCTTGGAGGTGGCATGCTTCCTGCACCTGAAAATGATATTCCCATATAGGGTGAGCCACAGCCCAGTAGAAGTACACTAAACCAACCATGGACAATGACTAAAATATTAGCAATTGATAGATGGTCAACACTGATACAATCACATAAATTACATATTTATGTCAAACGACTTACAAGTCCAAGTTTCCTTTCATTTTCCCTTTTTCAACGGATAGGCATATAAGCACTAACCATATTCTCGACAGATATGTATATCAACAATATCCACATTCTCAACAGATATGTATAACAACAATATCCCACATTCACAGATAAGCATATAAGCTGAATCCACACATCACAAAGATAAGCATATGAGCTCTATCTTCACTTCTCTAGACAAGCATATGAGCTGTGTCTACGGAGTTCATCCCCTATCTTCTCCCAATGCCGTCGGATAAAAAGGTACATCCCCTATCATCCCCTAAACCGCGGAGTACATCCCCTATCTCCTCCTCTACACACAACGTATATAAACACATTGGTTCTACATACAATCACACAATACACACAATTAATGTATTCTATCAACCGTCAAGTTCCATGACACACTCCATTGATTAGTTTCAGTTTACCTAATCAACATGCATTGTCTACAACAATCACGACTATCCTCCACCGATAGCCCAAAGCAGTTATTTCTAAACAGAAAATAAATGCACAATGGATATTCAATCAACATTTCAATACGGTGAGTGATAGATAATTCAACTACACCCTTTAACCCCATGCCTTCCCAATCTCAACAATTCCGTTTCATTTCCTCATTTCTCACAATTAATTATCCCAATTAATCAAACAATGTAATTGGACTTGTAAGTCGTTGACATAAATATGTAATTTATGTGATTGTATCAGTGTTGGCCATCTATCAATTGCTAATATTTTAGTCATTGTCCATGGTTGGTTTAGTGTATTTCTACTGGGCTGTGGCTCACCCTATATGGGAATATCATTGTCAGGTACAGGAAGCATGCCACCTCCAAGGAAAATGTAAATCAATCAAAAGTTAAGCGACAAAAGTACGTCCGCCACTAGCCTCCCAGCTATGTCCTTGGAGGTGGCATGCTTCCTGCACCTGAAAATGATATTCCCATATAGGGAGCCACAGCCCAGTAGAAGTACACTAAACAACCATGGACAATGACTAAAATATTAGCAATTGATAGATGGTCAACACTGATACAATCACATAAATTACATATTTATGTCAAACGACTTACAAGTCCAAGTTTCCTTCATTTTCCCTTTTTCAACGGATAGGCATATAGCACTAACCATATTCTCGACAGATATGTTATCTAACAATATTCACCATTCTCAACAATATGTATAACAACAATATCCCACATTCACAGATAAGCATATAAGCTGAATCCACACATCACAAAGATAAGCATATGAGCTCTATCTTCACTTCTCTAGACAAGCATATGAGCTGTGTCTACGGAGTTCATCCCCTATCTTCTCCCAATACTTATCCGGTTTAGAGGTACATCCCCTATCTTCCCCTAAACCGCGGAGTACATCCCCTATCTCCTCCTCTACACATAACGTTATATAAACACATTGGTTCTATATACAATCACCCAATACATACATTAATGTATTCTATCAACCGTCAAGTTCCATGACACATTTCATGATTAGTTTCAGTTTGCCTAATCATCATGCATTGTCTACAACATCACGACTATCCTCCACCGATAGCCCAAAGCAGTTATTTCTAAACAGAAAATAAATGCACAATGGATATTCATCAACTCATTATTCTTCATTCTTCTCAATTAATTATCCCAATTAATTAACCAATGTAATTAGGTCAATTCCCATAATTAACATTTCAACCCTTAGGTTCCATTCATCAATGATTCAACAATTATTCCATTTTTCTATGCCAAACATGCATCTAGGTTTATTATGAATAAAACCCCAACTTTTGTAAAATTACACAAAAGCCCTAAACTTTCACAAAATTACCAAACCAAGCCCAACATCTCAAAATAACCAAAATTTAAAGACAAAACCCATAGAGAGGAGTAGGATATCCCTACCTCAAATTCGGAGTCCCAAAGGAGAAGACGACAAAACCAAACGTGCTCCAAAACCCGAGATTTTCAGATTAAAATGAAGCCCTCGACGATCAACAACTTTTTTGTAAAGGCAAAGGTGAGCAAATCACTCCTACTAGATCAAAACCTAGAGAGAAGGTAGTATCTAGAGAGAGAGACTCAACAATGATGTTTTTTGGAAAAGTAAGAGAGAGAAGAGAAAGTGAAAAAGTGATTTGAAGAGTCACAAATTCGGGACTTTAACCCAGGTCTCCGCTCGAGCGTAAAACACCCCGCTCGAGCGGCCACTCACAGACTTTCGCTCGAGCGCAACCTCCCGCTCGAGCGCAGAATGCACCGCCAGCACTTTTGCAGAACCAGGCCTCCGCTCGAGCTTCCAACTCCCCGCGTCGAGCGGCACTCACACAACCCCGCTCGAGCGGCCAATCCCACGCTCGAGCGTAAACACTGCACTAGGAAGAAAA